TAGTTTAAATTTCTTAGTTCATAGATTACTTAGTTTCCCACTTTCCAACGAAGGATATGAAATAGAAAGAGATTACATTAGGAATGTAGCTGAGTGTAATGGATATTCTCCTTCACTAGTTGATATTCTTGAATCCAATTCCTTCAAGTTCTTTGTTCCTACTACTCTAGTGGCGGAAATCTAACTGTTACGCTCAGTGGGCTCTGACTCGGTTGGCTAGATTTAGCCACGCCCACTCGGTGCCCACTGAGCGAGTATACAAACGCTCAACTTGTAGATTGTACTTTAGTTTATAATCATCTGCTGATGATGCTAACATGGTTAGCGAAACGGGCATCCAGTGTAAAAGTAAAAGTGTTTTGGTGTATTGTGGTGATTTAGTGTTTTTATTTTGCTGTTTAACACCAAGGGTTCCAACCCTCAACTGTAATAGTTTACGACTATACATTAATGAATCAAGATCGCATGTCCATGTGGCCAATTTTCCCATTAAAACAATCTAATCTCTCTCTAGATATTCTTGGATCATTTTTTTTAAGATCTAGTTGTTTTGTGCGAAGTAAACTAAAAATTTCACTTTAAAATACGATATGTTTTTATTAAAAATAGCATATTCTTATATTAAAATTACTTTATTTTGTTTGAAAATTATTGTAAAAATATTTAAATTAAGAAAAAATGTGTCTATAAGGAAGCATAACAGAATTCTTCATGAAAAGCATATACATATTTTACACACAATAGATTTATAAGGTCGTGGTGATTAACTCCCCTCCTAAAAATTCTACATATACATATTTTAAAAACAAGGAACTCTTTTAAGAATATAAACTACTCAAAACAATTATTATCGCATATTTTCTAAAAAAAATATTAATTTGAAAAACAAGACACTTTGAATTCCCTGACTTAACAGTAGGTAACAGTTTTAAATAGTTTGGATAGTGTGAAGGGAAATTCGAAACAATAAGCCTACGCTTTGACCTGTAATTTTTAGTCGGCCGACTATTTAGTTGCAAAAGTAAAAACAATACATACTTATGGAGCCGATCGGCCGACTATTTGATTGCATGTGAGCGGGGCTCCATAAGAATATAGTCGGCCCATTAAAAATTGCCTGTCAGCGTATAGCCTAAGTGTGCGAACACAGTGCAAGCAGGTTTGCCGCTTTCTGGTAGCCAGCGCCAATCTGGGTACCTATTCTTGACATCGTTCGCAACTTTGCGTATACGCATCACGTGTATTGTTATAAACAGGGTATCCCAGAAATAAGTGCAAGTATTTTAAAGGGTGGTAGATCTCGATAAAAGAAACATATTTTTTTCTTTATCGTTTTCAAATAAGTCCAAAATAACGGAGTTATTTTACTTTGAAAATTTCCAAAAAAAATGATTTTTTGCTAAAATTTTGAGCACCTTCTTCATGTGCTTTCTCCTCATCGAAGGTTGGCTACCATCAATTGGAATTCCTCCCTGTCTTGAGCCAAACGGATAATTGCACTTGCCTCTCCTATATTAAACCACTGGCGCAAATTCCGCAAGCAGGAAAACCGTTTACGCCTGATGCCTCGTCGTCCTTCAATCTTTCCCTCAACGATCAGCTGTAGGAAACTATATTTGTTATTTCGAAAAATATGATCAAAATATGCTGCTTTCCGTCGTTTTATTGTAGTCTTGGTCCTTACATATTCTTTCCAATACTCCGAGATTTGTTTGAGAACCACTGGATCTTTTCTGGATTTTCTTTCTTATAAATTTAATCTACTACCTATGTTGCCATATTATCAAGAAATTATTTTTTTAAATAAAAACTAAAAAAAATTGCAAAAAAATTCCAAAAATATTTTCAAAAAATTCCGAATTTTAAAAAAAAATTATTTAGAAAAAAGCCCATAGGCATGTTTCTGGGGTTGAACTATACTACCAGTTAAGTTAAAATACTTGCACGTATTTCTGGGACACCCTGTATATGGTTACATAGTAGCGCCGCGCCGCGCCAGCTCGCGCTTATAACCTTGAAAAAATAAAGCGTGTTATCAAATCGGCTAGTTCACAGTGAAAGCAGATAGGAGCCGTCAACCAGCGTTCATCGGCGTTCTCGCTTTTACCACAACGAAAATTTATTTATTTCTGCTTTTGCAGGCGCCGACGGCGCACATAGGGTATTAAGAACTAAAAGTTGGCCAAAATTATGTTTTATGATTTTTTTGCTTTTTTGCTAGTAATATTAATTATTAGAGGAGAGGGTGCTAATATGGAACCTCATTTTGTTTTTCCTACACAATATTTTTTCCTCTACTCTGAAACCCTTTCCACCGATCAAATAGGGCCATTCTGTGCAAAACCAAGCAATTGGATGAGGATGCTAGAACAAGAAAGTAATTTGTATATTATTGTTACGTTTTTCGTCGGTTCCGTGTGGATAGAAAGTCGCAATTTATTTAAACACTATTTATTTAACACTAATTAACAAAAACAATAACGATAAAAGACTTATAGAACTATTTACAAACGATTTATAACTAAGAATTTATTTTGAATTTTAGCGCGTCAACTGCACTGGTATATTTATAACTGCCCTCTCTAGGCCACTGCCGCCGGCTTTTTATACCTACAGCAAAAGAAATCTAGAATAGTCCATAGATCGTTAGGCGCATAGAGAAGGTTTTCGAATGTTCACGTATGTACTAGTCCATTCTAGTGGGTCTCGATTCTTCTCGAACGAATGAATCATTGCGGTGTCTATGCGATGTTAAGGTCATCCGAGGGCGGGCCATATTGTGAGGTTAGGTCGAGTCCACACCGGCTCGCAACATTATCGACGATATTTGAGCGAGGATGGGTGTTATAGGGTAAAGACTATTTTCTTTAAGAATCTATTTAAATCAATGTTTTTTTGGCAGTGGCAAATATTGGCAAGATTTTTGTACATATTCCAAAGCTGGAGACTTTAAGCATTGAACGGATACTAATTTCAATGCGGAATATTGCCGAATAGTCTTACACCTTATAAAAATGCCTCTGATTTTTTAAATATAAAACATTATAAAGAAATAGAATAGAGGAAACGTTTCAAAAAAAAATATTGCATAAAAACAGGACACCAGCTGGCTCTGTATCTATCATGACAGTTATTATAAACAATTTGCAAAAAAAGCACTACAAACAATTCCACTATTTTATAATCTTAGAAATATTCAGAATACACTCAAGATAATTCATACTTATAATTGAAATATATTATTTATTTGATAGTCAACTTGTAGTCAACAAACGTGCTTACATTTAGTATTTATAGATTTGTAATCAGTTAAAATAAAAAATGAAAATAAAAAAAATATCACTTTTGGCCAGGTTTATAGACCAAATACCCCTATGTGCGGCCCCGGCGCGGCGGGCGCGGCGATTCAATATGGTTAGGTTAGGTTAGGTTAGTTAATAATCAGGTAAATTTCCTCTTAATTACAGCTACTTCCGAACCCTGCTCGCATCTCCGAAAAAGCCATATAACAATACGTGATGCATATACGCAAAGTTACGCATCACGTGTATTGTTATATGGCTTTTTCGGAGATGCGAGATGTGAGCCATATTTGAAGATGCGAGTGATCAAGAATAGGTGCCCAGAGACGGCGCTGGCTGCCGGAAAGCAGAAACCTGCCTCCACTATGTTCGCACCCTAAGGGTACGAACATAGTGGAGGCAGGTTTCTGCTTTCCGGCAACCAGCGCCGTCTCTGGGGACCTATTCTTGACCACATATCGCTCACATCTCGCATCTCCGAAAAAGCCATATAACAATACACGTGATGCGTAACTTTGCGTATATGCCGTGTATTGTTATATGGCTTTCTGGAATGCGAGCAGGGTTCGGAAGTAGTTAATTAAGAGGAAATTTACCTGATTCACTAACCTAACCATATCCAAACGCCGCTCCCGCACATAGGGGTATTTGGTCTATAAACCTGGCCAAAAGTGAAATATTTTATTTTCATTTTTTATCTTAACTGAATACAAATCTATAAATAATAAATGTAAGCCCGTTTATTAGTTTTTTTTAAGTTGTTAGTTGACTATCAAATAAATAATATATTTCAATTATAAGTATGAATTATCTTGAGTGTATTCTGAATATTTCTAAGATTATAAAAATAGTGGAATTGTTTGTAGTGCTTTTTTGCAAATTGTTTATAATAACTGTCATGATGGATACAGAGCCAGCTTTGTTTGTTTGCTCTGTTCTGTTTTATGCCATATTTTTATTTTGAAACGTTTCCTTCTATTCTATTTTTATAATGTTTTATATTTAAAAATCAGTGGCATTTTTTATAAGGTGTAAGACTATTCGGCAATATTCCGCATGGAAATTTAGTATCCGTTCGATGCTTAAAGTCTCCAGCATTGGAATATGCACAAAAATCTTGCCAATGCTTGCCACTGATTTAAATTGATTTAAATAGATTCTTAAAGGAAATAGTCTTTACCCTATTAACACCCATCCTCGCTCAAATATCGTCTATAATATACAAATTACTTTCTTGTTCTAGCATCCTCATCCAATTGCTTGGTTTTGCACAGAATGGCCCTATTTGATCGGTGGAAAGGGTTTCAGAGTAGAGGAAAAAATATTGTGTAGGAAAAACAAAATGAGGTTCCATATTAGCAACCTCTCCTCTAATTAATAATTAAAATTTTATATAAAACATAATTTTGGCCAACTTTTAGTTCTTAATACCCCCTGTGCGCCGTCGGCGCGTGCAAAAACAGAAATAAATAAATTTTCGTTCCGGTAAAAGCGAGAACGCCGATGAACGCTGGTTGACGGTGCCTGCCTGCTTTCACTGTGAACTAGCCGATTTGATAACACGCTTTAATTTTTCAAGGTTATAAGCGCGAGGCGGCGCACAGTGGTTCCGATATGGCAAAAAGTGACGCATATCGGTTAAAATTCATATCTGATAAATCTCACTTTTAATAACATATTTCAAATACGCACCCGATAAACCATTTATCACTATCTCGTCTATGTTTTTTATTGATTATTTTTTGATGGCGAGCATTTTTAAGATTTTTATCATTTGTACACTTTGTAAATCGAACGGAGGTCAGCATTAAGATAAATTTTGGTGTTTTATTAAATCAACAATAATACGTGTGAAAAGTAATACAACCATGGAGGAAGGCCATTCAGGTAAGTATTTTTTAATAATCTGTATTTGTCTTTTGAGTTCAAATATCTTAAAAGCACCACCGAACACCACGCTAGTTTTTATTTTTAAAAGTCTTTATAGAACCCCTCCTACTTTTTAGTTCAATATTTAGACCCGCCATGACCCGCCGAAATAGAATTTTTACCTAATATTGTTTTCGTTTAAAAAAAAAATACGAACTGGCGACTCCCAATTTACACTAAACTAAATTTTTTGATGCCAGATAGAAAAAAAAACCATTTGGTGATTTCTTCTGGCGTCTATTCATCAATTGAAAAACACCTGACATTTTAGGTAACATCAGTCGTATGAATTTATGTAAACGTTTTCTTAAGAATGGATTCAATGGAAAATCGGAAGCTGAAATTTTGGAAGAAATTACCCTATATCTAACAAATTATTGTGATATTTACAACACGGAGCAAGAATCCGCTAAGAAAATACTCAAATCATTCATTCAAAAATGGACCAAAAGATGGAGAGATTCATCTTATTCTTGGCAAAAATTTAGTTTGAAAAATGCTGATTGGTTAGAAAAAATGTTTTCAGTGACTTAGCTATAGACGAAAATTCGCAATGCACTGGGGAATCGGAACCCGGTCCATCAAAAAGAAAATGTTTTTCCGATTTATCCAAATCTCAAAAAGACAGAACTACGAAAGGTGATTTTTTTATTTCAATTTTGTGCACTGTATTTACCATATATTAATTACTTCATTATAGACGTCAGAGATAATTATACTTCAGACATCCTTGCGTACGCAACCGTTTCTGTTCTTAAAAAGGAACATAAACATGATGTTGCTAAAGCAGTTTCAGCCGCTATTTCTTCTCCGGATGAAGTGTTGGCTGCTTTGAAACAAAATATTCCCAAAAAATTTACGCCTAATGAAGCCATCGCTTTATTTATAATCAACAGCAAGCAAACAAAGGCACAGTACCAAAACATGCGGTCAGCTACACTTTGGAAAGGTAATTTCATTAATTCGCAATTTGTATAAATATTTTTTTTTCATTATGTTTTTCATCAGGTACGGATCTGTACCCTTCATACCAGGAGATACTTAAATATAAAAAGTTGAGCTATCCTGTTTTAAATCCTGATGATTTTACTGAAACTGAAGCCAAAGTGACTCTTCAGAATTTAGTTGATACCACAGTAGAACGAATTTTAATTAATATTGCTGATCTGAATAGTACATGTGATATTATTGCCACACATAAATGGGGTATGGATGGAAGCAGTGGTCATTCGGAATTTAAGCAACGATTTATGGATCCAAAAAATTCCGATTCTACTGTATTTTGTACTAACTTGGTGCCTATTTCATTAACATATAGAGATGATTCTCAGAAAGATGTTATTTGGAGAAATGAAAATCCAAATTCTTCAAGGTATGATTAAAAATACTGAAGAAAAAAGGTATGAAGATTGGAAACCTGAAATTTATGAGCCTTTTTTCCTACTAACTACATCAATATGTTACTACATATCAAATTTTATCTAAATTTCGTCGAGTTATTAGACTTAGACTAAAATTTGGAGGAGCCTAATCTATATTTTTGATAAATTACATTTTCAAATTTTAGCTTATGTCGACCAATGAGAATGGCTTTCTGCAAGGAAGACTGTAATACAATTCTAACAGAGTATTCTAGAGTGATGAAGGAAATTGTGGAAATACAGGACAGTAAAATAAAAATTAATAATAGCGTAGAAGTCATTGTAAGACATAGATTCTACTGTACAATGGTAGATGGAAAAATAATAAATGCGGTGTGCAAAAATGCTGCAACTTCGGTAAATGAGTTTTTGTTAAATATAATATTTTAAACGTTCTGCATAATGTTTAAACCTATTGTACTTTTAGAGATGCCCTGTTTGTCTAGCTGGACCAAAAACTTTGAATAATTTGCCGAGCCAAACCAATGCAGATGTTTTGAAATTTGGAATATCCCCTTTGCATGCAAAAATTAACTCCATGGAATTTTTACTGAGATGTTCATACAAGTATGTATATTAGATGAGAGAATTAAACATTGTTAGTTAGATGAGAAGTTGCTGTCATGTCAGCAAGCATTATCCATCTATATTTAATTTATTTTTAGACTGGCCTCTACGAAGGAAGAACAAGAAACTAAAAAGAAAATAATACAAAAGCAGTTTAAAGAGAAAACTGGTTTAAACATAGGTAAACCAAAACCAGGGTTTGGTATTTCCCATGACGGAAATACAGCTAGGAGATTTTTTCAGAACTCGAAAGTTACATCTGAAATTATAGAGATAGAGTTACCTATTATTGAAAGGTTCTCGAATGTCCTAGCTGCGATATCATGCAACAGAATTGTTTCACCTGAGTCTTATGAAAATTATGCACGTGAAACTGCTGAACTTTTTCACAAAACCTACCCTCAATTCACGTTTTCACCAACAGTTCATAAAATTCTTTACCATGGACATGAGTACATGAAACAATTTTCTTTCATTCCAGTAGGTAATATTTCTTATAAAACTTTAGTACCAAACAATAATTATTTTTTTAATTTAGGAGCATTGAGTGAAGAACCACAAGAAGCCCGCAACAAAGATTTTAAAAGATATCGTACAGACTTCTCAAGAAAGATTTCTCGGAAAGACACTTTAGAAGATATTTTTAACAGATTTATGTTAACATCTGATCCACTATTTTTTTTCTTATTCAAGAAATTTCAGTTGTTATCAAAGACAACAAAAAAGGATGAAAATGTACACCTACCTCTAGATTTTCTCAATAAGGAAACTTCTGTTTAACAATGCCATGATGGGTGTGGGGGTACGATATGAGTTCTGACGAGGACAATTCTACAAGTAATGATGAAGATGACGAAATTACTAATGAGTTTGAAGATGGCGTTTTTAACTAGTGATTCATATTGTTGCGGACCGGTGTGGACTCGACCTAACCTAACTATATGGCCCGCCCTCGGATGACCTTAACATCGCATTAAAGAATAGACACCGTAATGATTCATTCGAAGATTCGAGAAGAATCGAGTCCCACTGGAATGGAGTAGTACATACGAGAACATTCGAAACCTTCTCTATGCACCTAACGATCTATGGACTATTCTAGAAATCTTTAGCTGTAGGTATAAATGCCGGCGGCTGTGGCCTAGAGAGGGCAGTTATAAATAGACGAGTGCAGCTGACGCGTGGATGTAGAGCAGTCGTCCTGGTCTTGCGGATGTTAAGGACTTCACAATTGACGTTTTTTAATACCTTGAAACCTTAACTTTGTGCTCCACAAAATCAATTACAAAATGTATCCCTTAACCAAAAAATTACGTCAATAAAATCACATGCGGCACTTTTTCACCATTTGGAACCACTGTGCGGCGCGGCGCGGCGCTACTATCTATGTAACCATATACAGGGTGTCCCAGAAATAAGTGCAAGTATTTTAACTTCACTTGTAGTATAGTTCAACCCCAGAAACACGCCTATGAGGTTTTTTCCTAAATAATTTTTTTTTTGAAAATTCGGAATTTTTTGAAAATATTTTTGGAATTTTTTAGCAATTTTTTTAGTTTTTATTTAAAAAAATAATTTCTTGATAATATGGCAACATAGGTAGTAGATTAAATTTACAAGAAAGAAAATCCAGAAAAGATCCAGTGGTTCTCAAACAAATCTTGAAGTATTGGAAAGAATGTGTAAGGACCAAGAACTATTGACTACAATAAAACGACGGAAAGCAGCATATTTTGGTCATATTTTTTCGAAATAACAAATATAGTTTCCTACAGCTGATCGTTGAGGAAAGATTGAAGGACGACGAGGCATCGGGCGTAAACGGTTTTTCCTGGTTGCGGAATTTGCGCCAGTGGTTTAATATAGTAGAGGCCAGTGCAATTATCCGTTTGGCTCAAGACAGGGAGGAATTCCAATTGATGGTCGCCAACCTCCGATGAGGAGAAGGCACATGAAGAAGAAGGTTCTCAAAAATTTTAGCAAAAAATAATTTTTTTGGAAATTTTCAAAGTAAAAAATAACTCCATTATTTTGGACTTATATGAAAAACGATAAAGAGAAAATATGTTTCTTTTATCGAGATCTACCACCCTTTAAAATACTTGCACTTATTTCTGGGATACCCTGTTTATAACAATACACGTGATGCGTATACGCAAATTTGCGAACGATGTCAAGAATAGGTGCCCAGATTGGCGCTGACTACCAGTAAGCGACAAACCTGCTTGCACTGTGTTCGCACACTAAAGCTGGCAATGCAATCAAATATTGCGCCGATCGGCTCCATAATAACTCCATATCAACTCAACTAGTTTATAATCATCTGCTGATGATGCTAACATGGTTAGCGAAACGCGCGTCCAGTGTAAAAGTAAAAGTGTTTTGGTTTATTGTGGTGATTTAGTGTTTTTATTTTGCTGTGTAACACCAAAGGTTCCAACCCTCAACTGTAAACTAAATATCCTAAAAAACGTACCCTAACTATCCTAAAAAAAACTCACAAAAGAAAGGCAGAAAAATGCATGTTTCATTTAGAAATATGTAGTACCGTAGTTTGGGGCGAAATTGATAACCGAGGGCGAAATTTTTAATTTTAGTTAATTAATTTTAACGGCGTTTTTTGCAAACCCGACTGCATACGTCTTGTCATCAAAGCTTTACTAAACAAGACTGATGCACACCACTGCTTCTAGTTGCATAAATTTGGCGCTAAATTTAAAAATGTGACTAAACCATGTAATTATCAATTTCGCCCTCGGTTATCAATTTCGCCCCAAACTACGGTAATTACTTTTATTGAAAATGCGATAATTGTTTTGAGTAGTGTATTTTACTAATATTAAAAAAATTGAAATTTTTATTTGAAGAATAATGTCTAAGTTGAGAAAAAAATCTTATTCGAAATACATATATTTTTTAAGCATTTTCATACTCTTGATTAAATAATTTTGTTTTTTCTCTGAATTATTTTCTTGTTATAGTAGGTGTATATTTAGAAATTATTCTTTAGAAATTCAAATTACTCGCGTCTTGAGCGTTTTGTAACCATGACCTAGGCCAAGTTAAAGACAGCGAGGTTTCATGAATGATATCACGTAAGATATAAGCAAGTAAGTAATTGTAAAATCACGTGCAAATCAAGGTACCTTTTACGGTTTTACGGATTAACGCTTTAGTGAAAGAAATGTTGAAAATATTATGACAAAGGAAATTTTACAGAGAGACTATCTTTTTTTAGTCGTTCTGCAAAATGCCTAATCAGAATTAATACAATGATGATATCTAAATAAATTTAAACAAGACTGCCTGTTTTCAGTTATATTAAATCTTGGTGCGATTCTACTCGTAATCTCCTATGCCTCAACCTTTCAAAACATTTTCAACCTTTCGTTCATTTACAGTTTTCCTTTTGTAAAATTTTCTTCATACGCCTGTGTTAGGCAATGTCCATGTATGTTTTATTTGTAATTTTAATGAGGTAAATTTTTTTGAATTGATTTGTATTGTAAGACATTTTTTATTATTTGTATATTTGTTTTTGTGCTTTTTTGTTTTGTGAATGCTTTGTCGATGAATCTGTTTTGGCTTTTTGTACAATAAAGCGTTGTTTGTTTGTTTGTATACAATCATCAAAATTTAGTCAGCTATGTGTATAGGCACACTGAAATATAATTCAGTTGATTTTTAGTTGGATTTTTACACATATTTTATATTTGTCTGATTTGAAAATAAATATAATTAAAATA